TTCGGAAATATTACATTGTCTGTAGCCCATGCCTGCCATGGCTGGCTGAGATTTCTCTGGGGAGAGTTGACTGATAAATCAGGGCGATCACTACTTTTGTCAACGATCCATCCCTTTTTTTTTCTTCTGCTCAGTGCTGATTTGCATACTCATATATTAAACAGGTGAATCACAAATGTTTGTATAAAGTTTTATATACGGCATACTTGCAGATTTGAAAATGAGATGCCCTACTTACAACGGATTTGGACACATGTATTAACTGATTATATTTAGTGATTTTAGATGCTTACAACAAATTCCTAATCATTTTCTGCTTTTAATCAGGCTTTGCCTTTTTTTTCCACTGAAAATAAGCCACAATATTTATCGAGTCAGAAAACATTTATTTAGCAGAACAAGCTAATAAAGCGGGGTAGATGCGCTTTCCTAATTTCAGGTTCTTGGAACCTTCAGGAAATCAAGCTCTTGGCTGATCTGTATTCTCTTCTTAGAAATAGACATTGAGGTAGTCTGAAATTTATGCTTTGTTCTAAATGGAGACAAAAAGAACATGTAAACAGTGCAAAGAACGCCAGTGAATTTAGTAACTGGAGAAAAAAAAACACTGGTCTACTTATAAATCAAACTATTGTTTTAAAATGATAGGCTTTGGAAATCAGAAAATACAATCAGGTGGGTGGTAAACAGTGGATACACATAGGTTCTAATGTTTAAAGGAGAAGTACATCCAAAGCTCTTTTGGTTATATTTCTCCTGAGGATTACAGGAGGGCAGTTCGTTCTGCACTCCTGTGACCCGTTTTCAGCCGACATCAGGCTAAATCCCACTGTCTGCTGATGAGCCAGTCCAGGCTCTGAAAAGATCCTGACCATATGGTTGGGATCAATCCAGAAGCCTGGACCAACACCTGTCTCAGCCTCTCAGTGATCTGCTGAGAGCCTGAGCGAGCCGCTCCTGCCCTCTCAAAAACACTCCAGTGAGCACTGGAGGGGCAGAGCAGAGAACTGAGTGATCAGCAGTGTTTGATCGGTCAGTTCTCAGTCTTACAGCCGAGAGGGGAAAGATGCAGCATCAGACTGATGCTGCATCCACCTAGGTGAGTATAATTTTTTTTTTTCTTTGTTAACCCATACTTCTCTTTGGATTTGACTGTATGGCTCAAGGTTTAATATATATTAAATATATATATATTTTATATAAAATATATATATATATAAAATATATATTTATATAAGGTTTTATATAAATGCCCCACACACAAAAAAAAAACACTAGTGGGAATTTGTACTTTTTCAGCCAACAGAACATTTGTGAGGTCTGCTACTAATGTTGGATGGGAAGACTTGGCTCAAAGTTGATGTTCCAATTTATCCCAAAGGTGTTCAGTAGGATTTAGGGCAGGACACTCAAGTTCGGAGCTTGTGAACCTAAACTCAATCATTTGGAGAAGTGTTCACACCTTATATAGTACAATATCATTTAGTGTGCTTCAATATGTAGCCAACTTTTAGAAGCATGGGGAGAAAAAGTGATTACTATTAATTGCTATGTCCCATGGCCAGACTGGAGGCCAGCAGTGCTTAGCAAAGCTGTTGTATGCATGATGTGTAGCAGGGCAGTCTGACTGTTATGTTATACTTAAGTATGCAACCCTACCTTTATGATTTGTTTAAGAACACCATATTGTTCCTCCCCCTCCACAGTTATACACACTTCCCATTGCTGCCTGAGTTAATTTAAGTGCCTGTAATAGGAATGTCAAAACAACCAGATAGGGTCATAATCAGAGCTTGCATTATGATTAAGGTATTTAAAATCTCAGGGCTGTGTTTTTAAATTAGGGAGCGAATTTGTCCATGACAAAACATTATATATATACTATACAATATGTACAATACAGTACAATATGTACAAGTGACAACAATGGGGAGAGACTAGCTAGGATGAGATGACATTGAACCGAGAGGAACCAAATGACAAAGTCTGGGTATATTACTTGGATGAACATTTAAGAACCAGAAAACACTGATGGAATTAGGTTGCTCATTTGGGCAGTGTATTTATCTGAGTGTCCCAAGAAGGCATCACAATGCTTGCTGCTACTGTTAAAGCTCTTAGAAGGCATCACAAATGTTCTTCAGGCCCACCTGTAGCACGAAAACACTGAAGAAGTCTGTATTTTATCTAGTAAGCTATCTAGATGTAGCCCATGACAGTAAACATTGATAGTCCAGTGAAGCATTTCCTTATAGCATGTAAAATCTTCATTGTTATTCAGAGTATTTGGACAAATGTAACACAGATTGGAAGCATGGAACTTGCTTCACTAGTTTGGTCCACGTTGCTATGCTTCATCAGACAGCTTAATTTTTTTAAGTGCAAATACGGCTGTGGGTGATGACTGGCTGTACATTTGCAGAGGGACCTTTAAGAGGGAGCTGTGTAGAAGGACAAGTAAGTAGCATTTGCTATAAGGCAGCCTCTCCCAACCTTTTAACATGGCAGCACCATTAATACCAGCCCAGTCTCAGGGGAATCCCTGCTAATCTTCAGCTCACAGTACATTAGTGTGAGGGTCTCTGGGAACAATTTTTCTAACATTTCTGGTCATTGAGAAGAATCCCCCTTTCAGATAGCTTAAATGATCACTGTTGTCAGTGGTTACATATCTGAGAGGCAGAAAGTTCTTATTGCTCAAGCAACCCCTGGTAACCTCCCTCTGGAGGAACCCTAGGATTCCACAGAAACCTGGTTGAGAAGGGTTTGCCCTAAGGTGTCCATTGTTGAACATTGTGCTTCCTTCGGCATCCAACCCAACTTTATGCAGCATTCAACATAACCTTAATAGTTTGTGCAATCTTACCTCAAACTGCATTTATAAACATTTATCTTGTACCTGACCTAACCTCCTACTGCATCTGACGCTCCATAGATCATGTGTCCAACTAAGCCTCATTCCTTTATCTCCAAAACATTCATCATCTGATATACCATCTTTTAACCAATGTTCATCCATCATTTGGCATAGTGTCATCAATCTTCTGACTCAATATCATCTTTTTGTCTGAAAAACTCTTATCTATCACCTGACATCATCTTAATCCACTGAACTTCCTATTGTAAATAAGCAAAAACTCCATCCTTGTTAGCTTTTTAGTCATATTCTGGCCTTGTTCTGTAATATTGAAGATATTTCATCATATATCCAAGTGGTTTCCTAAGTCCTAATTTCCATCCTACCTCTGATATATTTTCATCCTTCAGCTAATACATTCTTGTCCAACATTTGAAATAACTGAGTCATTGAAGGAATTCCAATAAATTCTAATTCTAGCCTTTATTTTTTATATATTCTTGTCCTATATGTGGCATATTTTAATCATTTATCCAATAATTTCTCATCCTGCATCACTCTTCATCTGATAAATTCCCATAAAACTTATATAATTATTGGTAAGCATCGGGTGGTCTACTGTAAGGGAGGCATTTACCTTTAACACTGTAAACTGGAGTGTAGATTCATTTTAAGACTAAATGGTATATATAAAAAACAGTAAAGATGACTTCTACCAAATATTCACTGATGGTGAACCAATTACTGTCATTTAGAACACATTCACCAGGAAGAGTCACCTACAGTGAATGTTTGATGAACAAATTAACTGCTTTATAAATACAACCCTAATTGTATGTGGATGTTCCCTTATGCTCCAATGGTGTCTTCCTTTCACTTCTATTCAGCCTAAGATACTCAAAACTGGTCTGATGACATTATAGGATTGATTTACTTTTATGTAAAGTATCTTTATCGAATTCCAGACTATTCACATCTTATTGGCTTACTTCTGGTGATGAAGCTAGGTGCTTAACTACACTGCAGCCTAACTCCGCATAGGGTCCAAAACAATGTCCAAGTCTCTATAGATTAGCTCAATTTACCATGCAGCAAACAAGAATGAGATAAATGTCTGTCCCGTCTACATCTGCCACTCATGTGACTGACTATTACTCATGGGTCTTAGACCATTACTCCAAAGAAATCATCTATCTGTATAATATCATCAAAAGTCCTTGTACATTGCATCAAATACAAATTTGGGAAATGGCTTGGAAATATCAATTAGCAGTTAGCTCACCAGCAACACTCTGCGCCAAGCAACAGCAAAAAAAATGTTAGGTTGTATAAGGAAGATAAGATATGATCCTACTATAAAGCCCATGTACGTCAATCACATATAAGGCCATATTATGATTATGTTTGCAGTGTTGGCAAACACAGTGGTGGTTATTTACTAAAACTAGAGAGTGCAAAATCAGGTGCACTTCTGCATAAAAACCAATCAGCTTCCAGGTTTTAATGCCAAAGCTTAATTGAACAATCTGAGGTCAGAAGTTGGCTAGTTTCTATGCAGAACTGCACCAGATTTTGCACCCTACAGGTTTAGTAAATCTCTCCCAATGTATAAGGAGGAAGGGGTTAAAGGCAGACAACTGGGCTAGGTGAATAAAAAGGGATGGAAGGTCTCAATCGACCTTAAAGTAGTATCTAATTTAAGAAAAATATATCCTAAAGACTACTTGCAAAAATATATCAAATTCAATAGGAAAATGTTTCAAATTAACTTTTTTATTTGAATGGCTGTACAAAAGAAGGAAAATATTTTACCATCTGTTTGGGAAAGGGCTGATTATATAACAGTGCTACCTATATATTGTATAAACGGAAAATGAGACCATTTCAGGGATAGGTCATTCTTAGCTTGAGTCTTTTTTACTGTTACCCTTTTTAATGAATCATTTCTCATTAAAATTTTAAAAAAATAAACATTTGCCTCAAAAGTAAACAAAATGATGATATTAGCTTGATGTGTGTGGTTATAATTTGTGTCCATTTTTATCTATCTTGTGCAATTTAATAACAATGACATGATTGGTATAGATACATGAGATGGCACAATGGCAGTAGTTTTCTACTGGTTCTTGTACCATCTGCTCACCTTCAGAGCCCCATTGTCTTGTGATACTCTCCTGGTAGACATGGTATCTGGGAATCCCACAGACTGATTGAACTCTGCTCTCTGATCATCCAGTCTCCGACTTTGTGACTGTGCCAACATGTCCATCAAATGATTCATTTCAGGAGGAGGGGTGACTGGAGCTGCGAGTCAAAATACAGGTTTGTCATTGTAAAATCACAATAGCCATCATGAATCTTTGAATGGTATCTTTTACAGGTAGTGAAATGATATTTAGAATTTGTTGATCCAGTTTTGCTGATTGTCTGGGATTATGTGGGTTAATCCTGCTCCCTATAATTATTATTATCATTTATTGAACATCATTAGTGAGCATCATTAGTCATCATGTTATAAAATCTAAAAGCTGCTGACATGTTTTAGGCTTAAGGGAATGCCTAATAGATTACACTTTTATCATTGTGCCTCAGAAATCCCTACCAATGGTGTAGGGGACCCTTGTGACTCTCAGTCCTCTTTGGTGTTGCAGCCTCTCAGTAGGTGCTCATCTTTAAACTACCTTTCTGTCTTTCAGTCTGTCCTCAAGGAGATGTCCATCCTCCTTACATATCTCAAGCAGAATATTATTATTACACCAATCATACTGTTTGTTCATTGTTTTAGGGTTTCAGCCTATCAATTTTCCATGTCAAGAACCGTTTTGAAGAAAAAGAACCATCAGGTTTCCTAATTAAGGAAAAACAGCTTTACCATCAAAGGGTTGTTTAGAGAATGGTGAAGCTATAAAACATCCTCGGTACATGAGGTGGCCAAGGCTAAAACTCTGTATTTAAAATCAAACTGGATGCTTTACTCATAAGAAATGTAACCTTTGGCTATTAAGAATCTTTATGGGTGGCCTAGAACACATATGCGCTGTTCCTGTAGTCATGAAAGTTCATCAACTGATGAACTAGGGTTTAGGCATATCTGTGAAGGTTCTCATTTATCCAGGTCATGGTATAGCTAGCAGTAGTTAGTTACATTTACTGGAATTATTCTGTAATGCTAAAGACGCTTCACCAGTCATCCAAGGGAATTCTTTGGTTCTGGGTTCAGAGCAGAAGAAACTACCTGGATAGGCAGCGTAACATCTTCAACAATACAGAGCAAGTCCAGTTAAATACAACTTACTATTTCTAGCCAGGATATATAATAAACGCTCTGGAGCAGAATGTTTCCAGTTTTGAATCTGAATGATCTCTGACTTGGTATCATTAGTAGTAGTTGATCACAATTAGCTGGACTTGTTCTGTAGCTCAGAGTTTTGGAATCTGCATAGATGAGGCATGAAACATCCACAGAAATACAGAACAAGTTGAATGTGACTAGCTACCGCTAGCTTGGATCTACAGTACATTTTTACAATTTTTGAACTTGATGGACCCTGAACTTTTTTTTTTTTATTATTATTATTAAAGTCCAACTCCAGCCTTCCTGACCTCTCTAGGTGCTTTTAATGTGAACATATATATTCTCAATGAGTCTCAACAATCACAACAAAGCCTTTAGAGTTGAGTTTCACTTAGTTCTCATTGGCGTAGGCTACATGCACACAGCGGTTTGGCCCCTCAGTGTAAAATCCCTGCAATTTAGGGCACCTAGGAGGCACAGGGTCCAGTCCCAATGCCAGCAGCTGGATACTGTACCACATTTAGGGCTGTATGTGTTCGGGGACATATGCTCGGAACACTGGAGCTCTGTATTGTAAACATTGAAAATGATCTAACTAAAGGCAAAACCTTTTTATTTTTTTGATATGGATAGAGAATTGAGTTGTCAGTACCACTGTCAGGTTTATTGTTAATGTTTGTATTCCCATTGGTGAGATTCACTTGTTCTCTAATTGTCCTGATCACCAATGTCGCCAGGGATGAAGGTGGGGGAAAATCCACAATTCTGACTTGCCAACAGAACAAGAGCAGAGGGGAAATCTACCAATGGGGACACTTGTTCCTGTGACAGCTGTCTGACAGGATATATGTCCCTTTGGAAAGATATCCCCTAATTTCTTATTGAGTCTACAGGACATGAAGGGAAGTCAAATCTCCCTAATGAAGCAACTTTAACCTTCCCCTACTTAATCCAAAAAGAAAACAAAAGTTTGGGCTTTAGATATACTTTAAATATCTCCACAATGTGTACAGATAGAGAGATAAATGAGTGTTTGTTTTATTAATGCTTGTTCTGAACATGTATATACTTTTGTGTGCCTGATCTGGGCATAACTTCACTTTAACTCTTACCCACTCCATCCAAAACTAAATTTAAAATGTTTTGATTAAGCTTTACATTTTTTTACAAAAGAAAGCATAGTAAAATGCATACAGTTGAAGAAACGCCTTGATTATACAGACATGGAGAATGGATAAATTAGCAACCTCAATGTATTCAAATTAAAATAAATTTGAAAAGAGGACATGATTTTAGTGTACATACAATTCATTTTTGTATAGAGGAGAGACAGGTGAGAACATTCAATGGAGCTGATACCTGGATTGAAAAGGAAGCCTGATGACAACCAGCAAGCTCAGAAGTGTTGAGCTGTGTATTTATGTGTTTGTGGACACCTGACCATCACACCTATATGAGCTTGTCGGACATTCCATGCCAAAACCATGGGCATTAATATGACATTCCCATCCTTGTGGCCATAAAACCTCCATTCTTCTAGGAAGGCTTTGCTCAAGATTATGGAGGGTGTCTGAGGGAATTTGTGCCCATTCATCCAAAAAGCAATTGTGAGATCAGGTACTAATGTTGGACAAGAAGACCCGGCTCACAACTGGCATTTAAAATCATCTAAGAGGTGTTTGGTAGGATTGGGGTTTAGGGCTCTCACTGCATGCATTTGAGTTTATCCACACGAAACTCCATAAACCATGTCTTTGTGGACCTGGCTTTGTGCAACTGAACTCCATCATTTGGAAGGATGTCCACATACTTTTGGCCATATATTGTATGCATCTCTGCCTTTTCATTGAAAAAGTCAGTTGCAAGGGGTACCTGTTTTGCTCACAAAAAGGAGTTTAAGACACATGCAAATCCAACCTATGGATATGGAATAATATGTAAAGAAATTGCTACCAGGCTCGAGGTCCCAACATTTGAAACTCAAGTTCAGTAGTAAACAGGTACCTCTTGCAGTTGATCAGGATGCAGCGACAACTAAGAATATATTTTTCCCCATTTGCCTCAACAGAGAACATCTCTGATCCCACAAAACCTGGATTTGATGTTGGTAAAGGTAGAATGTAAGTTCAACTTCCATTAACTGGCATATTTGCTCATCCTACTGCCCTGGCCACATCTATTTGAATCAGTGCATGCAGTATGGGAGAAAATGAGTGATGTGTGCAATCTACTCTATGGAAAGTGAAAATGTAGATGAAGAAAAAACAATAGGAAATCCAACATTTGTCTTTTCACGTATAAAATTGTGCAATGTAATATGAAAGGAAGGAATACCCTCAGCACACCAGGTCATATACTGCAGTGGCCACTTACTGCTATTTTTTGCATCTGGATCCACTTTGCTGTGCACAATTTGGATGCTGCATCGCTGCTCATCCATCCGCGCGCCCCCTGAACATGGCTGAGAAGGTTAAAGAAGCCTTCCTGCTCCTTAGGGACTTCCTGCAGGCAGAAACAGACACACATTTAGCTCCTTTACCAACTAAATAAAATGGCAAAGCCTTTTTTAAAGAAAAAACTTTTCATGAAAAACAAAAGTTGATGGCCCCCACCTGCTAATGCTAATAGTCTAATAGTCTTGCTGTATACATATTTTACGGGTGGCTAGCTTAAAATGTTAGCAAATATTAGCATGATATCAGCATGAATGTCAACTAGCATTTTAGGGGCCATCAGCAACAGCAAACCCCATATTTCTTTAATTAAATATTTCTTTAAATGGCTGCTCACTTCCATACCCATTTGAAGAACAGGCACTGTCAGCAGATACCTGCTGGCTGTCAAACCAAGGCACCTGTGCACACTTATACTGGCAAAGCCCTTCGCTTGGAGTCAGGACTACTCACTTACCTGTACACAGGACCATGGTAGGCCATGATTCCAAGTGCAGGGCCAGGCCGGATCATGCACATGCCTTGGCCAGCCAGCCAGTATTCCTTCCCTGACATATACAAGGCTATCCATGGGTTTTCACACTGCAGCTTTAAAAGGCAGATGCGAATTGATCCAACACACTATGCATTCTATATCCTAGAGGCAGCTGAGCATGAGGAAAGCATATGATCCTTCATGCTGATGTAGTCACCTAGCCATTTAATGTTCTTGCCTGGTGATGAGAAAATCCAATGACAAGTGTGGATCGAGTTTGCGGTTTTTATAGGCACTATACAACTCTATGGTACAAAGTGCAAACTGAGTTTTTGGTCATTACACTTTATCTGGCAATCTATGTCTCTATCATGTTTTGAAGAGTAAGATATTTTGTTTAACTAGTTAACCAATGTTCTCCACAGTGCTTCTGGGCATACTCTCAATAAAAGTGAGGTGATCCACTAGACGTCTAGAGAAGGATCACTGTTTCTACAAATAGAGAGAATCAAGTTTGATGCTTACATATAACCCCATGGGAAGTTTGCATTGGAAGTGTTTCATTCATGCAAATGGAAGGCTTATATAGAACACATTGGTTAGTTTAGCTCTTTCAGCTTTGATAGAAATACTGTCTAGTATATACTAGGCAAAGCTGGAGTCTGCACTGGTCTGCTCATTCTGTTCAATGTGACCCCCTATCATATGTAAGGTAAGTTTTTTCTGCTCAAGTGATCATGTGCCTAAACTGAAAACACAGACAGTTGATAATATATACAGGATGAGCTCAACATTTTTTCTTGGGACTCTCAAATATCGGGTTGTCAAACTTGGGTGGTCCTTGGAAGTATATAGTAATAACAAGAGTACGTAAAATGTTTGTTACCCAAGTACTATAAAACCCCATCTAAGAATCCCCTTGAAAATTAACAACATTCCTCATACACTTTCCTCATAGCTACAAATAAACTAACAAGATAAGCAGAGCAGTAGATACCCCTAGAGGATCCTGCTAGAGGATTCCCAATACGATGAGTGGCCTAGATCGTCTTAGCCTTACATTTATAATACAATAATCACACAATTAGGTCATACTAGATGCAGATATTAAGTCATAGACCTGTAGATAACCATGCTGATGGTTGTTGCCATTTTCCTGTCTGAACAATGTTCCAGTTGATCCATTTCTTAGCCTTTCTCCCAACTTATAATGTCCACTATATTCACATTCATTCATCATCTTTAAAGCTTCTAGAGCTAACCTACCAACATCTTGACTTTTTCTGGGATAATTGGTCTACATGACTCCTAATGTTTTTTGATCCTTGTCTGCCACAATTATGAGTGATTTTACACCTGTATCAGCTATCTCATGTCCACCTTCTAAGTCTGTCTTTTACTCACCTCCCATTTGGACCCCAAACACTGATCTTCTGTTACAATTGACAGTGAAATTTATACACCAACAAAATTTCTCTGCTCTGTTTCTCAATGTCTCTTTCTCCACTGTCTGATTAGACAATGGGGTAGATTTACTAAAGGCATAAGGGCTGTTTGCTTTGCAAGAGAATTCTCACTTTGCAAGGGAATGTTCCCTTTCCTTTCTAAATGTAGGAATAATTCACTTTTCAAAGTATACCCAATCACGTGCTAAGGAACAGATATTTGCTTGTACATGATTGGATGATGGAAAATAGCAGAGCTTACCAAGCAAAGAGAAAATTCCCTTGCAAAGTGAACAGCCTATTTACTTTAATAAAGCAACTCTATGGAGTCCTGCTGCAGATAAGTACAATGATTTCTGCAAGAACCTTTGCATCCCCTCTCTTCAAACTCTTCTGATTACAAACCCCCCTCACTTCTCACTATAACCCCTTCTCATGACTGAAACAAAGGAGCACCCCATACATTTCTGATTGTGTACAATGTATACTTCAAAGGCTGGTACAGGCCTGTGAGACCATTAGGTAATCTAGAGACTATTGTACAATGTCAAATTTGATGACGAGTAGAGGTGAAAGTTAAACCATAGCTCTCAAATGTCCCATTTTGGAACCAAGTCCCTTGGTCCTTTTCTTCATAATGGTCCTGATTTAAAGCCAGCCATAGACAGAGTGATTTTCTTTCCTGCAACCATGGGGAGCAGGAAATAAAATTGCTCGATTCCCCCAGCAACACAGTCAATGTTGATGGGAGAATCCATCCCGCTGAGCCATTGTGTTCTCCCATCACGGCGGTGGGGGGAGCTGTCCACGCCAGCAGAACACAGTGATTACTGCTGGTGGCTATAATAGCATGTAAAATCTGATTGGTTGTACTCAAGTTGATCAATCAATCAACCTGGGTACATTCAGCCTGCCCATACATGGTTCGAATTTCAGCTGCTGAACCAGCTGTGATTTGAACCGTCTATGGCTGGCTTAAGATCTAATGTACAGGTTTGTGCCAATAAACATACTATTTAACAGCGTGTGCCCTGCAACTTATTGTGCAAAGTATTTTTTTTAAATAATATAAATATATATAGTATAAGTATGGATGTCACCCATAGCAGCTAGTCAAATGTCTGTTATTGATTTCAAACCTAATGGTTTTCTGTAGGAATAAAAAAGCTGCCATGATTAGGTGATGTGCTTTTATAATATCCTGTTCATTTGTAAATGTCTTTAAATATATAAAATAGTTACCCAAATACAGTACAAGTATTGACGGTCTAAGTCTGCCTTTCTGCAGTATGCAGGGGTGTGGCATTGTCCTGTCTTTGCCAAAATGTTCCCCCTAAGGGCTCGTTCACACTTGACTTTCTAACTCTAACTTTACTTTAACTTTCTAACTTTCTAACTTGACTTTATTTCTAACTCTTGCCAAACGCCCCTATAGCATTTGACAGGCATTAGACAGGTGTTTGTGAAGCATTTTTAAAGCTCCTCAAACGCTCCCAAAACACCCTTTGCACGGTTTTGACGCGTTTGATAGGCGTTTGCCAATCGTTAAAACCGCACCACAAGCTCCTATAATGAAGTTGAATGGTATTAACGCTCTGCAACCGCCTCGCAAACGCTCCACAATCGCCTGCCAGGCATTTGAGGAGCGGCACCATAGACTTGAAAAGACTTGACATAGAATTGAATGGGAGGCTTCAACTCCTCCTGACTCAACACGTGGTGTCAGTTTTGCCGCAACGCAACGCTAACGCTTCAGCGTGAACAGCACTGTGTACTGCCATGTGCAGAATTTTCATTTGAGAAGCGTTAAAAAAAACTTCCCAAACGCCTGTCTGACGCCTGCTGACAAAGCTAGCGTGAATGTAGCCTAAAAGGTAACTTTCTTTCCCAACCAAGAAAGATAGGAGGTTGGGGATATAATTGATTGTTTTCTAAAATATTCTCTTCTCAGAATTTGGATTTAAAATAAAACCTGATGAATGCCCAAAAATTACATAATATACAAGAGATAGTTTGTGCAGCGACTCGGTATTCATAATACCCTATTAAGCACCTTCGCCTACAGACTGAGACTGTAAATCCCGAGATGGATTGTATATAGACCCCTGTACGCATCCACCGTCCTCCCTAACCCCCTAGGCATTGTGAATGTCCCTCTCACCGCAGGCCCCGATTGAGCTTCGTCCTCTGGGCTTTTCTTGGCCTGGTCCTCTTCAGCTCCATCTACAGGATCCATAATGCTGCTCTTAGTCTCTTCTCCTAGCAAACAGTTATGTGCCCATATCAGCCGTGCAGTCCTATAAAATGTCCTGCGGGGTCAACGTGCCCTCCCTTCCCTTCTGCAGATCATTAAATCATCTCATAATAAGGGAGGCCCCATCTGCAGGAAGGAGCTGGTTAATCCCCCATTAAGATTATCTGGGATAATTGTTAGTGCAGCAGAGGGTATATGTGTATCTGTGTGCTTACATATTTCTGAGTTTATGGCAGTGCTAAGGCATCACTGCCATGTGCACAAATATGTATGTGGGCTATATATATATATATATATATATATATATATATACACTCTGTATCAGCATGTAGGTACTGCATATGCACCTGGGTTAACACCCCCTAGAGGCAAGGTTGGGGAACAGCATAGATTAAACTAGAGAATTATTGCATACTTTGCCCACTTACATTATAGAATTGTTGCATATTTTGCCCACTTTTCAACAGTTTTAAAGAAAACTGTTGTATATTTTACCAAGCACACATTTGAGTTATTTTTGCAGTGTTTATCATAAAGTAAGTTGGTAAGTAAGTTGGTATGGCTATTATATTTTGACTTTTTTTTTGTTACCGTATTAAATATGGAGCTTTGTGGGTAGGCCACTAGAGGGAACTATTGGGGACTTGGTGCAATCACTCTTCCTCTGTTTAAAGCTGAACTCCTGGCAGGTATAAAAGGCACATAGGAATGCAGCTCCGCATTAATGAATACAACAAATATCATTTTTAAATACAAGCAATGTAAGTATATAAATTTGACTTGGTATCAGCCTCTTGGAGTCTACTGTAAGGCCAGGGGCGGACTGACCATTTGGAAACTCTGGCACTGCCCGAGGGCCCGGGGTGAGTAGGGGGCCCCATGAGATGCCCCTGGTACCTTTTTCATAGGCTTTTTTGAGTTTGGGCAAGGATACAGGGGACCCATGATCCCTTATTGCCCGGGGGCCCCATGAGTTGTCAGTCTGCCCCTGTGTAAGGCTGTAACAGCAGAGCTCAGAGAGGGGGAGGGGGAAGCAGTGCAAGAAGCCAGAATACATTTGCCCCCCTCCTTTCTTTTTTTTTTCTCTTTTCTTTTCTTTGTTTTTTGCTATAAAGGTATATTTTGTGAAAAAATTATCACAAAGCCCTGCTTTATTGCTTTTTTGGGTGCATTTTACAATGGTATATGGGCTTTATGTATCATAGTTCAAGCTATAGTATGAGTGTTGTATTTGTTTTTATGTATTCTTTATTCATGTCTTGCATATGCTTTTTGTGTATTATTTTAACCACTTCAAGTCCAGACACTTGCACCTCCTTCCTGTCCAGGCCAATTTTCAGCTTTCAGCGCTGTCGCAGCACTTTGAATGACAATTGCGCGGTCATGCAACACTATACCCATATGAATTTTTTAGCATTTTTTTTAGACCGATAAAAATTTATTTTGGTGGTAGAATGCAGAAACATTTTGGACAGCCATCTGTCCCAAAGAAAAATCTTCAATACAGAAAAGAAACACTCTTATTGGCTCAGCATACTTTGTGTGATAAATATTGGACGGGAGTTTTTGGTTTCACAGCTATCCTAACCTCCAGAGAAGGAGCCTCCATTAGACCTAGAGGATTGCACTTACCTATCCCACAAAAGGGAACTCTGGAGTACCCTGATAGCAACCAGCTTACACCTTGGGACCCATCCACCCACAGAGGAGAGGCTCTAGATCCCTACCATCACCTATGATGACCATTTGATGACATCAGGATAAATTTATAACGCGCATTTACTTGCGCTTCTGGTGAGTGCGCATTGCTTATACACCTATTTGCACATTCACCTTCTCCAGGAAGACGCAGGAGTAATGAGCACCTTGGTCACCTGATGAACTTATTTATGATTTATTATGATCAATGAATCTTGTTCTTATTTAATGTTTATCATTAGACACTATTTATATTTATACCTTCCTTAGCACCGCACATCAATTTTATATTTTTTATGGTATTTATTCACCACTGGGATTTTTATTTTTTTGCTATATAAATGAAAAAATCCAAACATTTTGAAAAAAAAAAGTGTTTTTCTTGTAACATTTTGCAAATAAATAATCTTTCTTCATAAATCTTGGCCAATATGCATTCATCTACAGTGGGGCAAAAAAGTATTTAGTCAGCCACCAATTGTGCAAGTTCTCCCACTTAAAAAGATGAGAGAGGCCTGTAATTGGCATCATAGGTAGACCTCAACTATGAGAGACAAAATGAGAAAAAAAAATCCAGACAATCACATTGGCTGATTTGGAAAGAATTTATTTGCAAATTATGGTGGAAAATAAGTATTTGGTCACCTACAAACAAGCAAGATTTCTGGCTCTCACAGACCTGTACCTTCTTCTTTAAGAGGCTCCTCTGTCCTGCACTCATTACCTGTATCAATGGCACCTGTTTGAACTTGTTATCAGTATAAAAGACACCTGTCCACAACCTCAAACAGTCACACTCCAAACTCCACTATGGTGAAGACCAAAGAGCTGTCGAAGGACACCAGAAACAAAATTGTAGACCTGCACCAGGCTGGGAAGACTGAATCTGCAATAGGCAAGCAGCTTGGTTTGAACAAATTAACTGTGGGAGCAATAATTAGAAAATGGAAGACATACAAGACCACTGATAATCTCCCTCGATCTGGGGCTCCACGCAAGATCTCACCCCGTGGGGTCAAAATGATCACAAGAACGGTGAGCAAAAATCCCAGGACCACACGGGGGGAACCTAGTGAATGACCTGCAGAGAGCTGGGACCAACGTAACAAAGGCTACCATCAGTAACACACTATGCCGCCAGGGACTCAGATCCTGCAGTCCCAGGCGTGTCCCCCTGCTTAAGCCAGTACATGTCCAGGCCTGTCTGAAGTTTGCTAGAGAACATTGGGATGATCCAGAAGAGGATTGGGAGAATGTCATATGGTCAGATGAAACCAAAATAGAACTGTTTGGTAGAAACACAACTCTCGTCGTGTTTGGAGGAGAGAGAATGCTGAGTTGCATCCAAAGAACACCATACCTACTCAAACGGAAGTTGAAAGTCCGTGTTGCCCAGCGACAGCCCCAAAACATCACTGCTCTAGAGGAGATCTGCATGGAGGAATGGGCCAACATACCAGCAACAGTGTGTGCCAACCTTGTGAAGACTTACAGGAAACGTTTGACCTCTGTCATTGCCAACAAAGGATATATACTGTAACAAAGTATTGAGATGAACTTTTGATATTGACCAAATACTTATTTTCCACCATAATTTGCAAATAAATTCTTTCCAAATCAGCCAATGTGATTGTCTGGAATTTTTTTCTCATTCTGTCTCTCATAGTTGAGGTCTACCTATGATGCCAATTATAGGCCTCTCTCATCTTTTTAAGTGGGAGAACTTGCACAATTGGTGGCTGACTAAATACTTTTTTGCCCAACTGTACCTTTTTAGTAAAAAAAAACCAAATTAGTTTATAACCAAAAATTATAATTTAAAAAAAATAATTTTGACATTAATTTTTCATTTTTTTATTTTATTATTTATGTTTTTTGGGTTTTTTTTAACATACCATCACCCTAGCAGTACAGTGTCACCATAGAGACACTGTACTACTTGTGGAGGGTAATGAAGAATTTTTTTTACACATAAAAGCTGTAAAAGCAATAATTTCTCCTTCTTTCTGGCTGTATTCTTGCAGCCATTGAGAAATACAGTGTGAGCTGTGATTGGTCACAGCTTGTCACATGGTACAAGGCTGTTGTGAATAGCCTTGTACCATGTGACCTCTGTGATCATTCACAGATTTCACACGTAGTAAGCAATTATGTCAGAAGCAGGGGCGGACTGACAACTCATGGGGCCCCCGGGCAATAGGGGATCATGGGGCCCCTGTGTCCTTGCCCAAACTCAAAAAAGCCTATAAAAAAGGTACCAGGGGCATCTCATGAGGCCCCCTACTGACCCCGGGCCCTCGGGCAGTGCCCGAGTTTCTAAATGGTCAGTCCGCCCCTGATCAGAAGTGATCATTCATGTGATCACTGATTGGCCAATCAGTGATCACATGATTGGGACCTCACACAGAGGTCGCATACAGCGGTCGGTGTTTCCTCTGGGTCCTTGGGACACAGCGGGCATTGGATCGTGGTGCTGCGTGCTCCCAGGGAGAGCGCACAGGCAGGGAAGCAGGGAGGACATTAATAAATGGCCACCCACCCCTGCACTGCTCCCGTCTGGCCATTTATAGACATGGGCCAGACGGGAAGTGGTTAAGGAAATAAGGATTATAAAAAAAAAAAATAAAAGTCAGATGGGTGTGCAGTAGTGTAAGGAGCATACTGATAGGAGGAGAGAGCTGAGTGACAGAGAGATGAGAGAGAGAAGTGCTGCTTCTCCTTTCACTGTCCAGCCACAGTAGGGAAAAGTGAAACTGCAGCATACTAAGATCAGGTCCTCTCGCCTTAAAGCAACCTGCTATGGGAATTTTTTTTTTCTTTACACAAAGTGTACCCTATTAACCTTTTGTAACCCTTAATCAACCTTAAAGTGTTACTAACTCCAGGACCCTCACTATATCTGGTCTTCCACAGTACACACAACATGGAAATGCAACTATTTTAGTCAATATAAACTGCTAAATAACTTTCATCATCAGCAGTATATAGCAGTCTTGTGACTTCAATCAGTGTCCAGACAAGCACTGGTTAAAGCTTGTAGGAGGAGTTTTCATTCTGCTCTGACTGTCCTATGAAGCTGTATAACCCCTGACCCACTGTCTGGACAGTGCTAATTGGCCCTGTGCTGATCACATGCACTCTCCCACAGAATAAACAACAACTCTCTAGCAATATACACTAAACTGAACAAGTGCAGAGCGTCTCCTAGCGTTCTCTGCTATCAGCAGATGGATTGTGGACACTGGAAAAAGGGGAGGATCAGAGAAGACAGGATCAAACAGCCTTTTTTACACAATAAGAAGTAACCCCT